GATTATGATAGAAGTTTTTGAAATGTGTGGTTGATAAGTTGTGGGACCCATGAAAGATGTGGTTAATATTGATTGTTTAACTTTGATTTAGATTAAAATCTGATTTTAATCATAAACAAACAGAGCCTTAGTATATTCTACTATGGACTAGGGGACAAAGGTTGAAAGTTTTTTAATATGTATCATCCGTGTCGGATGAATAGACGTTCAAGTTCAAAATTAATCTCCAGTGCATCCTATGAATTATTATTTAAGTTAGTTCTAATTTTTTAAAATAAACAAAAAATTAAATTTAAATCTATGAAAGTGCAAATTTTGTTGAGTAAGCATATATAACACATGTTTTGAATTTACATGGAACTTTAGACGATTTTTATATTATTCTTTGTCACATCACAATGATGGAGTCCCAACAAGCTCATACTAGAGAGGAATTTTTTTTAACACGATCTATGATGCTTATGTTGGACAATGTCTTGTGCTTTGTATTTCAGAAACCAAACTATAGTCAAGATTTAGCTACAAACCTGATCTTGAGCACGGATATAGATCCCCAGGCTGACCATTTATAAGGAACGAGTCGGAAATATTTGGATCCCCTCCACTTGCCATGAATTCACTAAGAACCTCTTCCACATCACTGTTCCACCACTCTCCTGAATTGCAACAGCTTCAAAGATTGAGTTACTTCTGGTTTCAATTCAATTATTTTTTTCCTATTTTTCTGTAACTTTTTTCAAATTCGAAACAAAACAATTTTTGGCCATGTACATACCTAGAACGATGAGTTGTTCTGCATGAGGCTTAGGGAAAGGATAGTCATTTTTCTTCTTTGGATAAATAACGATTGCACCGTAGACAGTAGCCCGTGACCATTCACTATGAGCGTGCCACCACAAAGTTCCTTCCTCGTCCGAAAGCACAATCCTTTGGCTAAACTTTGTTCCTGGTCGAATTGGGCACTGAGTCACATATTCAGGTCCATCTGACCATGGATACCTTGGCATTTTTACTCCATGCCTACGAAATCAACATAATTTTTGCATAAGGCATAACTTCACACCCATTATACACATAACAGTATTGCCACAATATATTAATTGTTGGTTTGTAATATATTTACCAGTGAATAGTGATGTTCGCGTTTGCTCGATTATAAACATCAACAATGATTGTTTCTCCTTTAGTAGCGTATATAGTTGGCCCCGGAAATTGTCCATTTATTGTCAAGATAGTCTTGTTGGTGCAAAGCCTTGTGTATGGAGTCTCCCTCAACTGCAAAATCAGAAGGTTAGCTTCAAAATCTTGAAATTATACTGTCAAAAATAAAAAGTAAATGTATAATAAAGTTGAATAGTAGAAGGTATTAAGAAAGGAAAAGAAACTGAATCTTGTATACTGCATTCTCTAATCCTTACCAATATTGTGTACTAAAAACGCGATAATAGACACAAGCATTGTACTCACCACAAATTTATAGCGACGTTCCAATGCATCAGCTTGCAGCACAACACCGAGAAGAAGTAATCCGATGAAATGTAAAACTTTGTACTCACCACATATTTATAGCGACGTTACAAAGCATCAGCTTGCAGCAAAACACCGAGATTAAGTAATCCGATGAAATGTAAAACTGAAAATTTCATATTCAACGACATTAATGTTTCCTAGCTTTCTTCGAATATGTGTTTGTTGTGGTGTGTTTTGCACAAATTCTTATGGAATATATAAGGTCTGGAATTGAAGAAAGCTGGTGGCTGCTTCTTTTTTCCCACGTTCATGACATGATTAAAATATGCATATTTGTTAATAAGACACTGCATTTGACCTCTCGGACAGGAAGAATTTGTCTTCAATGTCTTAACGAATTATCTTCATATACTATGAAGTATGAATGGATAATCATATGGCTTTCTCTTGCTTTTTTGGAGTTAGGTAGTAATAAAACTTTCTTGGATTAAAGAAAAATATTTTTGGATGGGTTATGTATAATACTACAGTTTGCATCTCACTAGTTGCCTACAGAATAAAGATAAATCATTTTTGTTATTTTAAAATACTCTTATGCGACCAATCAAAACCTGATAATATGTTAAGATCAAGACAAAATCTAGGTTGTTCAATTGGTGAAAAATTTGTTATTTTTGGTCAATGTCTGTACATATTGAATTTTAAGAAACACCAGAATAGAAATTTGTGTCTATCAGTTAACCATTTACTGTTTTATCATAATGTACAAGTTTAGACATTCTAAAGCCGTTAAAATAAATCTTAATAGGTGGATTTTCAACACCCATCGTTTGGTAGAGTTTAAAATTCAGATTTTAATCTAAATCAAAGTCAACATTAATTTTAATCATACAGTACATCTACTTTTATCAAAATCTACTTAAAATATAATTTTAATCCCTACCAAACAGGGGGATAATCTTTAACTTTGCCTTAATTTTTACTTGAGCACGTACAAGTTTATTGTATTTTTTTCATTAAGCTATGACGTAGATAATTTTTATAAATGGATGACAACGATGACCATTGTCTATCTATGGGTTAACCAATCTCCTTAACAATTGCTAAGTAAAAAAAATGCTTTTATTTTTTAGAGGAAAATTAGAAAAAATGAAATGCTGACAAAAGGAAATTATAGATAAACTAAAGAAGCAAGCTTTTTTTTTTTTTAATATTGTCATTATTATTTTATTCTTTTGCAGGTTTTCAACTAATATAACAACCATAAAAATGACAAAAATTGAATTAAAATAAATATTAGGGAATGCAAAACAACGTATTAGGCTGCTAAGGGTGGCCATGATTTAATAATTAAAATAGTTAATAAGTTAAAAGCGTGGCTGTAGAGCTCTAATTAATTTGTTTGATTCTTAATTAATAATCTCCATGTTGGCCTTAATTTTAAACGAGCCCAAAAAGTAAAGCATGTGGTCTACTATAATTAAGTATTCAAAGCATATTTAAGAGAATCTTTAAAATTGAAATACTTTTTATTTTAAAGAGTCAAATTTTAAAATTTAATTTAAAAAGGCTCTTTATTTTGATTTTTTAATATGCAGAGTGAGTTTGACTCTCTACATTTATAGAGTCGAATACACTCTCTATTTATGTTTTATCAAAGTTGCGTTTAATAGTATCGCAAGTTTCAATACTTTACTATTTAAATTATTAATATCATATAAAATATTTTAGTAAATAAAATCTTAAAATATATATTAATTAAAAATGAGGCAAAAACAATAAATGAATGTTGGAAAAAGTAAAATAGGGAGCAAAGATAAAAAATTTGTTCGAGTGTATAAAATATTATACTATTTAAATTTAAAGATATTCTCTATTATGAACAAAACGCTCTTTAAAATTAGAGTCTTTTGAAAATGTTAGTATGTTAACTAATTATTTAGGCAATCATAGTTTTCAACTGTTTTTATTTCGAAATTAAATTATCATGTGCATTTGGTGTACTTTAGCCCCGTTTGATGAGTATTATTTGACCAAAACAATGTTTTCAATAGTGAATTTAAGAGAATGCTTAGTTAAAATATAGGGAAAAGTTTGGATTTATGTGTAAAAAATTTTATTGTATGAATGCGTGATTAAAAATAAGTACGTAAAAAAATAGTTTTTAAATAATAGTTGTCACACATGGCTCAATAAGTAAGGGCAATAAATTAATGTGGTGCAAACAACAAAAAATTGAAAAAAAAGAAAGAAGAATGTCTTTTTTTCCTCTTGTGGAGCCCAACCCAACCACCCACTAACTCGTAAACTGGTTGCCTCAACTACTTGACATTATTTGTCCAATTTATCTTCCACTTGTCGGAGTTTGACTCGAATTAACTTTTATTTAAAAAAAAAAATGACTTCAATTTATTTTGAATATAATTATAATAAATAAAGAAATAAAAAAGGAAGGATGAGAAAAAAGAAATAAGTGAAAGGAAATTTACACATCACAAAAATTAACATAAAGAAACAATATATATATGTTGAACCATGTAAAAATGTGGTGTGGTGTGGTGTTATTTTTCTTGCTCTCATGTATACAAACAATGCAGTTTATTTAATGTCACTCGCGACCAAGGTCAAAACACTCATCATTCGATTAAATCATTGTTGATCTCGGAACGCTATTATTACCTCAACTCCAATTTCATTCACTTCGATCTAAAATTAGTGTTATTCATGAACTTGGGACATTATATGGATGCATTCCCAAATACGTTTCTAACTTCAATAATAATTAAAGAGCGTGTAACCACCACATCTATTATTGTTTTTCTCTGTATTCTTTTCGTGTGTATTCATATTCCAACACCATGGTCCATGAATTTGACCTTTTGTAAAGGAAAACTATTTAGCAGCCCACGCAAAACTTTATATGAAATGATGGTGGCATAGACCATGCAGATTATCCAAAGAATAAGTCCTTTTGAAAACGTGTTTCCTCACCATGATCATCCAACAAATGAGAACTATCCTTCTGTAGTAATATCTTAATTGACCAAGCGGCCAACACATGGTTCAATTATGAAATTAAATTCCATATATTATGTTTTTCTTTTTTTATTAAAAAATGAATCTAACTTTTTAGAAGAAGAGTTTCAAAAAAGAAAAGAGTAATACTATTCGTCATTAGTGATTATTTTCACTAGTCTAGATGATACTGAACTCCCTCAATAATTGTAAAATGAAGTTGTGATGCATTTGAATGTATTAGAAAATGAATAGAAGGGTTTGTGACCTAGCTAGACCGACGATGATCACAAGTCGATTAATAACATTATTCAAAAGAAAAGGGAAGATTCTAAAAATGTGCCGTGCTAGTAATCGAACTTTTCTTTGCATAAATGGTCACCAAACACGTCACTAATCACGTATTTTAGTAAATTTAACGATTTTGTTAAGTGTCTAACGACCTCGCTTACATAGTTGACTACAATAGCATAAATAAGGCTAAAGAAACTAATTCAATTTTTTTTTTTTTTTTTGCAACACTCTTTTAAACAAAAAACAACACTTTTAATAATTTGAATCCATCGATTTATTCACTCAACACAGAGATAAAAACAATTTTACCTATCAGTTTGGTTTAATTTGGCAATGTCTGTTATATATTTATACTATAAATATAACATGTGAAAGAAATAATGAATTAAGATAAAGTGCCCAACTGGTGAAAAGTGTGGAATTTGTGTGGGAGGTCAGGGGTTCGAGCCACGCCTCACGCATTATATTAAAAAGTCTTTGATTGGGCCTTGGGGCCTTGGGCTCTTGGGCTTTATTGATTCTAATAAAATACTTATTATTTTTTAATTATTTTCGGAATTATTTAATGGGTCAACTAGCCAGTAAAATATGACAGTTTTAACTGTCCAGTTTTAATATCCATTACCATAGGCCATTACATCTGCAATTTAATGTTAGATCATGGTGGAAGAAGTTACATCTCTTCATGCCTATATAAACACACTTTTGGGTACTAGAAAAATACAACAAAAACGAAATTGTCTCTTCATATATACAGTAAAATATTATACTCAAATTGTTTTTTATTTTCTGGAGTACACTTGAGAGTTCTGAAAACCTTTTATGATTGCTGCATAATTGGTTTATTTGATCGTTGTATCCTGGAGGTGATTGTCCACGGAGGTCGCAGCAGTTATCGATGAACAATTTCGCTTTAGGACATCGTGCTATCACGAGACTCGATCTATTGATAAGTTTTTTCAGCACTTTACCATTATTTTATCCAACAATGTCGTCATTTCCGTTTGCCAACTTTGTAAGTTCGCTGATCATCTAAACTATAAAAAAATTCGGTAACTAAAGCGACACATTTTCAAACTTTGGTTACCACTATAGTTTTTAATCCAAAAGGATCATTGGTGAACACAGAGCTAAAATGAAAATAACCTTTTTTTCTATGGAAGAAACAAGGAATTAAAGAGGAAATGTTTGACAAAATTCGCTGATTTGTACCGATATGCAAGTTGTCTTAAAAATTAAAATTGCTGAAGGCGAGACCTGCCATGGGCGGCTATGGCAGCTACGATTTCAACAATTAACATAATCGGTAAAGTCATAGCATTAGCTGTATAAAAATCCTCCTTTGAATTAATGTTGGAATGTGTCTGCATTTCAACATTCTTAATTTAACAATCCATGTTGGTTTTATTTAACTATATATAACACACGCTAGCGCAGCATGTTTGACAAAAGCTTAAAGGTACAAAGTCAAAAAGTAAATTGTTGCTTTTAACATATATTTTAAATAGATTGCATTATTTTAACTAAAAAAATAAAAGAATGATTTATTCTTATCTTAAGGTAAATGTTAATAATAAAATAAGCGAATTCTTATATATATGTCTAATTTCAAGCAATAAAAAATTATTTATTTTAAAATTTATTTGATTACTTACATGTAAATTTACTTATTAAATTTTTTAAAGCTTAACAAACAAACATGCACAAGGATTGGTTGTTGCCAAGTGGTATGCCAGGAGCCTCAAAGCGTCTTCAATGCATTTCATGGATTACAATTTAACTGATATTTAAGTAGAAAGATTTTGCTTGTTGAGACCTGTGCCAAATAATAAAGACTAGAAAATATAATTTGAGCCATATGAAAATAATGGATAACAATGAAAATAAAATTTACGTAGAAATCCAAATCCGGGAAAATCATGGGTAGATGCAGATAATTCACCATAATTAATAGTAAGGAGTTACAAATGATCTTTTTGGATCAATAATTAATTAGACAATTTAGTCAATTCCAATATGTGTTGTATACCACATATTTATAACTAAAGAATTACTAACATATTATGAGAATTAATATATGAAGAGTTTAATATAAGGTGAAATCTCAATACAATAGATAAAATCAATAATGGAGAATTTGGGGTAATTAGCATAAATGGTCC